CGGGGGGGCGCGCGGGGGGCGGGGGGGGGGGGGGGGGGGGGGGGGGGGGTTGGTTTGGGTTTACGCTGGCACCACTGAGCCGGGCTGGTTTGTGATAAGCAGCTCAGGGAAGGGAGACAGCCGACGAGGTGAGTCGGCTGTGCCACCTCCCTGGTCACCCTCCCCAGGTGTGAAACAGGGTGACAAAGCAGAAAAGACAGAGAAAATCCTGGTGGTGATGCTTGATCTTACCCCCACCCCCCCAGCAAGCAAACAGCAAGTCTTGCTCTGAAGCCCTGGTCCCCGCCACTGCTCCCCTACGAGCTGCCTTTTGCTCCACAGCCCTGATCAGCTCAGCGCTGCTGGTTACAAAGCAAAATCGCTCCCAGGCCCCACGAAGAGGTCCAACTCTTCTGCTGTACTTGCTTTGTTTTAATAAAAAGCCTGTTTGTAAAAAAGCAGGTGTGTTCAGAGCTGACAGGAGCCTGTCTCTGTTAGAGGGAAGAGATTAAATGCAGTAATGGAATATATCAATGCTTCCTCTTGATGAGTGAGGAGCAGGGGAGCAGCTACACACTAATCAGATTGGCTTTGCTTTAAAAATTTCCCTTCCCTTCCCTTCCCCACCGATCCCATCCCACCCCATCCCATCCCTTGGAGAAAGACTCTTCCGAACATGCAAACAAATAGGACAGGCCTTTCACAAAACTCATTGCAATTGATTCCACTTGTTCATCACTTCTCTCTCGCCCAATGTCACTGCTCCCGTGAGCAGACCAAAATCCGAGGACGCCGTGCAGGCAGGTGCCTGGGGTTGAGGTTGATTTGTCTTTCCCCGTTGAAACGGGACCGGGCGGGCTGTTTCTGGGGAGGTGCGGACACCGGCATGGAGGGGTCCACATGCGCTGAGGCTGAATCCTGGATGGTGCTGAGGGCCGTAGGGAAGGCAGCGGGGAGGAAACTGCTCCGTGTGGAATGGACAGGAGTTGCATCTGCATAACTGAAATCTGTGGCTTAAATGGGAGCAGCCCTATGGCTGCTCTAAGTTGCACCCACTGGTCATAGAGCCAAGGAGGATCTCTTTTAACCGGGTGATGCTGCAGGCACTTGTGGGTACACTTTTTGTGTCTCCAGCAACCCCCCCACCTCTCCGGGGGACCGTCTCTGCCCAGCTCACCCCGACGAGCTTGGCAAGGCTCAGAGGAGCCCAGGAGTGGGGCAGCTTCAGGTCCCTGCTGCAAAACTCATGCTGCCAGTGCTGAGCTGCAGGGAGGGAAAACCATCCCACCCCACAGGGCCACATCTCACATGGCTCTCAAACACCTACTCACCTCCGCTGCACCTTCTCTGGCTGCTGGCCATGCAAACCCCACCGTCCTTTTTGGAAGTCGGAGAGGAAAAAGGAGCTGCAGCAAAGGAAATGATGGAGGGAGCAGGTTGCTTCAGAGCTCTCAGCAGGGTGACGGAGGAAAAACCTGCGATACAAGAGGCTGCCACAGAACTTGAGTCTTCTGGCACGGGCTTGTTCTTCAGGTGTGTTTGCGCATGGACTGCACTGTGCTGGGAGCTCAGCTGGGCTGCAGCATCCCTATTTTCTCCCAGACCGTCACACCCTCCCCCCAATCCCTGATGGGGAAGTTGAGCAGTTAGAGGGCAATTGCTCGAGATGAATTTCTAGCCAGGAAAAGAGAAAAAGAGCAAAGGTTGTAATTTGAGGAGAAGGAGGACTGGCAGGGCAGAGGGAAGGGGATGGGTAGTCCTTCCAGTTGTGTCCACCTCGGCTCTGGGTGGGAGGACGGGCATGCTGCAAGTGCAGGGGGGCTGGCGGGCTCAGTCCATGCTGGGGCTTGAAGAGGGAATGGGAATAATTGGGATGTCCTCTGATGCACAAAGGAGGAGTGGGTGACTGGGGCACCGTCCTGCTGCTTTCTGCCTCCAGGGTCCCCAGGAACAGGCTGTGAGTTGTGTGAATTATCCCAGGGCAGTATCTCAAGCATCCTGTAAGTCATCATTCCTCCACATCAACCCATCATCCTCACTGCTCCTACAAGGCAGTTGATGGAGGTGGATTGAGGGAGAGCATGGATCCAGGACCACGCCTGGATCTCCACCTCTCCCCAAACTTGGGATGGGCAGGATTTTTGCTTAACTCCTGATGGAACCATCTCCAAAAGCACACTTTTCGGTTTCTATACTGATATAAAGCAAAGCCAATCACAAAGCTAAAGCAAAAGGGTAGCTGAGTTTGCAGAGAGCCTGAAACACCTGCTCCAAAAGAGATGAAATGGTTGTTCTTCTCAATGAGGTGTTTGCTGAAATTTCCCCTAGTGACGGTTGCAAGCTGTTCCTCCTGCCCTGCAAGAAAGAAGAGGAACAGCACTGGTGCTTCTCGGAAGTATAAATATCTCTTCTAGTTCTGTCCTGAATGCCAACTTGGTCAGCACTGTCAGGCAGCTGCCTGTTTCTGCCAAAGAGGAGGTTGCATTTTTATTGATGGCTGAAGTGTCCTCATATTCTGGTTAGCTTACATATAAAAGATGCTTGGTTTGCCCAAGATGATGAGTACTATTAAAACGTAGGCTGCTATTATTGATTATTAATGCAGAGCGCTTTCTAAAAGCCTCTTGATTGAAGCTGGTAGAACTGATCTTGTCTGAAGGGAGATTTGATTGATTTTCCTTTAAATCAAAAAAGAAAAATGCTGGAAACATCCGTTTTTCTCTTACATTTTTCATACATAAAAGCCTGCCAGTGTTATAGATTCTTTAATGTCACAAAACAACAGCAAAAAACCCCATGTTGGCTGTCCAGCTTTTGATGAAGCTCTCCATAAAAATGCCAAGCAGCTAACTAAAGAAGCTCCCCGAGCCCCAGGTATCACTTCAGGTTTTCCTCATGGAGAAAAAAGTCTCCATCCATTTCCCAGCCAGCCCCGCTGGGGCTCTCCCATCTCCCTGGCAAGTATTTTCTACCCAAAATCAGATTATATGCTCCAAATTGGCATCACCCTCAGTAAAAAGGATGCCTCGCGAAAGAGTCGGTGGGATGAAACCTGCACAGCATTTTGCTGGATTGCCTTTCCCGTGTCCTTCATCTGAACGTGTCCCAGGCCAGGTAAATCCCTGCATTGTATCTCCAGCGACCTGGGATGCATCCCTGGGATGCTCCCACCAGTCCTGGCTTAGGGCATGGGCAGACGAAGCCCCAGGTAGCTGCAGCCTCCAGCTGCCCTTTGCATCCTCCACCTGCAGGATCCCTCTCCTTCAGCAGGATGGGGCAGGAATAGCATCGGCTTGGAATTCAGGTATGGAGCTTATATTTGGCCCAGAGGAGGCATGGGACTGTGGTAAAACAATAGGGTCCGGGAAATCCCAATTCTGGACTCATTTGGGCTTAGCCAACCTGTGTGAGCAGAGATTTCGTCCTTTCCTGTTTCACCAGCTGCAGAATGGAGATAGGGGCACCTTGGATAGGCTTTGTTTTTCTTTATTATTTAATCCCTGAGATAAGGATTCAACAATTACCGTGGAGCGTAGAATAAATGTGCTGAATTGGCTCGTCCGTGGGGTTGATGGTGGAGCCCAGCCTGGGGCAGGTCTCCCACCCCGTGGTCAGGGTTTGGGCTGCCCAGGCATCCGCGGGAGCGAGAATGTGGAAAGAGTTTATCATACAAGGAACGAGTGGCCACACAATCAGCTTTGCACTGCAGGGGTCCTGCAAAGCCACAGAAATTGCACACAAGCTGCTCTGGGAACTGGCTTTTGTTGCCCGATTACCACTAAATTTGATTAACAACAAGACACACACACACCAACAAAAAAAAAAAAAAAAGAATCAAAGCAAGAGCATTTGATTCGAATTTCATTGCATGTCTGCGCAATCTCACCTCCCGCACTGCTGTAAATGCTGGCCTATTTTGAGGTCTTCCTGCTCTCATCAAAATTATAAGCAAAGACCTCAAACCGGCCCCATTTCCTCCAGCAGTGACTGCACAAGGCACCCACAGATGAAATGTGTCAGCTTTGCCTGCTTTGTAAATCTTGTCACTGTGCATTTTGCTTTGCTAGTGTGTAAATTCCTTGAAGTTTCAGCAAATCCCGAGAGGATCGGCTTCTAAAGAAAACCCAGTAATAGCATAATAAAGTATATCACACAACACAGCATATATTAGTTTGCGAAGTTCTCGGCTTGGATATAGAGAGGAGTGATTTTTGGGTGCTGAATTTGGAAATTCAACAGCAGGGCATGGTTTTCTCCCAGCCTAGAGGATATCAAGTCTGTTCTCCCTCCATAGCCCCTTCCTACAGCAGAAGGGATATTTGGCAGCATCCCTCCAGCTGGCTCCCACCCATCTCTCTGAGACCCGATCTCCCAGCCAGGCTCATCACGTCTCGCTGTGCTCAGCCCAGGTAGGAAGGAGGAGATGGTATGTTTTGGAAGAACAGCACCCAAAGCCTGTCCTGCTGTCCAACCTCCATCTCCCCAGGTCTCCTCCTTCATAGGCACTGCTGGGTGTTCAAGCACCATAGGTGGTCACGGAAAGTCTTGCTTGGTTTTTGTGGCGAAGGCCAGCTGAAGAAAATACAGAGGAAAACAGGAGGAGAATAACTCAGTGAATGAATTCAAATTCATTTTATCAGGGAGTCAGGGGAGAATGCTTTGGGCTTTGAATTCATTTAGTATTCGGGAGGGGAGGAGGAATTGTATTAGTTTTTTATTTTATTTCCATCATCTTCCAATCTTGGGGGAGGATCTGGAAAAGGGAAATAATCAGGGAAGAAAAAAATCTCCTAACACCTACGATGAGACTGATTGTCAGAAAAAAGTAACGATACAACAGTGGTAAAATTCTCTACAGAAATTTCCCCTTTTGGCAGAAAAGCCTGTTCTGTCCTTGAACAGCTTTCAGCAAAAGGTATTTATACAGCTGCTCTTCTCACTGCCCCTCTGGACTGACAGTTTATCCAAGAACAATTGAGAGGTGATGTGATCCTGTCTAAAAATGGCTACAAATTCCCGACAGCAGGCAAGTTTTAATCAAAAAGGCTATAGCATAAAGGAAATCCATATGACCAACTAGAGGTTTTTGCTGGATTGATTGAGACTGAATAGCAGGCAGAGGATTTTCAGTGGGAACATTGGCTGACAGTGGCCAACTCCTTCCTGATTTATTAGTTTACAAATGTAATTTACCAACTGACAGCTGACACAATTTCTTAGTCACGAACCCTCTCAGTCAAGGCTGGGGATGGCTCAAAATTACACCCCGTAGTCTAACCAGGAGCTGATGGTTGATGCAGTCTCCAGCTCCTTTCAGCCAAGCTAAGAAGGTAAGTAAGTTCTAACTCCAGGCATCAGGATTTATGAATTGGTGGGTCACCACGTGCTTTTGGGATCTCCTACTCAGAGCTTCTTTCATTTTACTCTCAAGGAAGGGCTGGACACCATCACTTCAGGAGCTATGGGCCGTGAAAGGGAGCAGACTGGTCCAGCTGTTTGTCTCTCTTCTGTCTTGGTTTCCAGAGGTCGTCTCCAGTAGATGTTGCAGGAACCTGTAGGTTTGTCCTAATACTGCAGCCTGGATGGGGAGGGGAGTGATGGGGTGTCCCGTGGTCTCCCATGGGTGCCACTGCTGCAAAATGCAAACGCACGGTCCAGCGGCTGAAAGGTGTGAGTCAACAGCTGACTTGCACCGCGGTCCGTCACCCGATCACTGGCGTTGCTTTCTGTGCCCACCCAGACACATCCTTCAGTCTTCCCAAAGGCAGGAGTGCTCCTTGCTCGCACACTGCCTCAGGAGCGTCTCAGCTGCAGGTTGTATTTCTGCCTCGAGTTCCCAAGTTGCCTGGACAAATAAGAGCGGGGTGCTGCCCTTCCCACTTCCCATTAAACACCAGTTTGAATCTGTTCATTTCATCTGGAGTCAGTCCTGAGGTACCCTGGTGGAAGTATTACTCTGCGGATCACCCACCCCACTCCTGGGTCTTTCCCTGGGAGGGCAACAGTCTGGAGTAAGTTACGTGCCATGGCTGGAAGTTGTTGCATGTTCTCTGTACAAACTAGTTCTGGTGAAAAACTAAGCTTTTCTTTTAAGCATATTTATTCCCCAGGAAACCATGTGGAGCTCGGACTGCACTCTGCAGTTAAATGACATCTCTTGTCAGGCATGGGGTGGTTGCAAGAAAGCAGAGGGGAATAGTCAAAAACAGGGTACTTAGGCAAGAGAGCTGAAATGCGTTTCACAGACAATACTGCAGCTGCATGTCCCTGGGAAAATTTTCATTTGGGTAATTCATTTCTTGCCCCCCTCCAGGGCCAAAATTCTCCTGTGATGGGGCATTAACAGCTGATTAGGAATGAAAAACAACACTCACACCTTGCAACCCTCCTAACCCTTTGCAACTCTTCTGTTTTTTTTCCAGGTATCTGGGTATCACTCGGCCGCTGACATACCCCGTGAGACAAAATGGGAAGCTGATGGCCAAGATGGTCTTCATCGTTTGGCTCCTATCCGCCTCCATCACCCTTCCTCCTCTTTTTGGCTGGGCCAAGAATGTCACTGTGGAAAGAGTCTGTCTCATCAGCCAGGATTTTGGGTACACCGTCTACTCCACGGGCGTTGCCTTCTACATCCCCATGGCGGTGATGCTCGTCATGTACAGCCGGATCTACAAAGCCGCCAAGGTCAGCGCCGAGAAGCACCGCTTCATGAACTTCCCCAAGCACTACGAAGAGGAGGGCGTCTACTGCCTGGAGACCTCCAGCCGGAGCCACCACAGCTCTAAGCGTACCAAAGCGGTAGAGGAATGCGCCACGCTCTCCAAACTGCTCCGGCAAGACCGAAAAAACATTTCCATCTTCAAACGGGAGCAGAAAGCAGCCAGGACCCTCGGCATTATCGTGGGGGCGTTCACGTTTTGCTGGCTGCCGTTCTTCCTGATGTCAACGGCTCGGCCTTTCATCTGCGGCATCCGCTGCAGCTGCATGCCCCTGCGGCTGGAGAGGACTCTGCTCTGGCTGGGATACACCAACTCCCTCATCAACCCCTTGATCTATGCTTTCTTTAACCGAGACTTGAGGACTACTTTCTGGAACCTCCTGAGGTGCAGGTACAGGAACATCAACAGGAGGCTCTCTGCCGCCAGCATGCACGAGGCCCTGAAAGCCACGGAGAGGCACGAATGCATCCTGTAGAGCCGCGTCCTCTCGCTCAGTGCCTGACCGACAAATTCCTGCCTCTCCATTTCAGGTTCCTTGCTTCCCTTGCCTCTCGGGGCTGGCAGAAACCATGCGTGCCGTTGTCTCCCCTGCCAGGCACCACCGCTGAGAGTGACATCCCTTCCCCTCGTCCCGGGAGAGGCTGCGGTTCTCCTTGCCTTGGGAACAAGTGGGCGAACCTTCCTTCTCACCATGTCCCAGGTGGGAGCTGAAAAGCCGTGAGCAAGACCTGGGGGGTCCAAGGTCTACCACTGACTGTGGGCAAGTCACACCACCTTTCTGTGCCTCAGTTTCCCCATCTGTCTAAAAAAAAAAAAAAAAAAAAAAAGGAAAAGAAACCCTCCCAACCAAACAACCAAACCCTAAAAACTTGATAAGACTGTGGCTCTCCACCTTCGAAAAGGGCTCTAAGGTCTGTGGAGGGCACACAATATACTATGTAAAGATGATGTTGGCTGCGCTTCTCTATCGAATATGACAGCAGCTATAGGCTCCGTTGTAGATCCAAGCACTCATGCCATCCCAGCTTATACGAACTCTTTCCACTGATGTAATTGCATTTTACACACTGAGCTCATGTGTCCAGGTTTGCACGTCAGAGCAGTAATACCAATGACCCCGTTTCCCCTCACACTGTAGCACTGCAGCACTTGAGAGGCACACTTGCAGAACGAAACACAAATGAACGTGACGTTTCCTTTATGGTTGGATAAGGAAGTCCAACGGCCTCCTCATCAGGGCAATGACCAGTGAGCAAAGACAGTTATGTTTATTGGGTTGTACTGTAATTCATTCTCAGACAACTGATGTATGTTCATAATTTGTGGCTAATTGACTCCATAAAAGCACGCTTTGGTTGACAACAGAAAAAAGTACATAATTTCTCTGACAGCTTTACAGTGTTTCAGTATGATGTCCAGCAAGCTTGAAAAAAATACACTAAATGATGTATCCTTTTTTTTTAAAAAAAAAAAAAAAGCCTGGTTTCCTTATTTTGGTGTAGACTCTTTGGTCACTGACTTTAAAGCATCTCTTTACTTCTATGTGGTGGTGGGACTTGTCCTGCTGTAGTCCTCTTTGCTCCTGACCAACCTTATTGTGTCAACCTTGCTTTGCAACCCCACAGACTCTTGCCTGTTTGTAGGTGTCTGCTTCATGGAGTCAGTTGTTTGAACATCTCCTATCTGGGTTTTCTTGTCAAAGCCGAACTGTTCAGAGGCTCAGGAAAGGGGTTTGTGGTCTTCCCCCCACTACAGATTTTCTTTATCAAGCAAGAGTATATAAGTGGTGGTAGTCCCATCTTTTGCAACATCATGCAGTATGATGCCCCCATGCATAGCTAAGTTGGCTGTCTGCTGGCATGGCTTGTCTTAGCGATCAAGATTTCTCCTGTGAAATCTTTTGTGTTCTCACTTCTCCTCTATTTAATAGCCATTTATATTGTGTTTCTTTTTACACTTGTTTTTTCTAGAGATGCCCGACATGGCCTCCCATTTAGACTGGTGATTCACAGCAGGGAAACTGGCTCAAGCCCACTGGGAGTGTTCCAGGGGAATCAGAGGTTGGGCACAAGAACAGCAATGTGTCCAGATGCTCTCCAAGCTCATATCCTCACAGCTAGAGCCAGAATTGCACACAGGAGCAGGGGAGCTTGCTGTAGCTGTTGTATGGGCCTCCAGCGGGGAAATGCTTAAAGATGAGACAGCAAAGAGATTTGAAGGAGGACCTAGTCAGGAGGGATCCCACAGGTTTAGCTGGAGCCCTGCTTCCCCTGCTATCCCATGCAGGAGCTTTTTGAAGAGCAGCAAGTGCTTCTGCTAAGATGGTTAACAGCTTCCTATCTCTCTCCCACGGTTTGCTACCTCCAGTTGTATGTTGGTGTTGGGTTTGTGCAAGGTTACCTGGACCAGGCTGTCTGCTGAAGGCAGAGCATCGCGCGCCTTGCGGCCGCGTTCAGTCCCCAGCCCCTCCTGCTCAGAAGCTGCTATTCCTGTCCAGGACCAACACAAATCCAGCCTTGCTGAACTGTCTAGAATGCATGCCAGCAGTGAGGACCTGTCCTCCACCATTCTGCCAAAGACGCACGCTATTGCCCAGGGAAACTCGAGTGGTGTCCCTGGGGTGCCCCGTGGTCTCGCATCCTGCAACCCAGAGACCCCACCAACACAACGAGGCAGAAGGCATGAGCGTACCCTCATGTTGTTGCCACATGAACTGGTGCTAAACCTTGCCACGACCTCTCTACGTTCCCTCGACGGTGTACGTTCACCTCAGTGCACTTGCTACTCATCATCCTTCCCCAGCTTGCTTGCAACTTCTCACGACGCTTCTGCTTCCAAGCCCATACAATAAGTCCTCATCCACCACACCTCTAGGGCACAGTCTGACCGCCCATCTCAGGACCTGCTTAACAAAAACAACCCTTTTCCTCCCAGAAAACACTTTGGGCCATCATGCCCTCTGTCACAACGTCTTAGCAGCAGCTGGTCGCTGGCTCTGGCCTGCCATAGGGACATGAAGTTCCTGCAGGGTCTGATTTTTTTTCCCTGGGCTCCCCCAGCTCCTTCCCTGCCATGGAGCTAATGGTGCCCTTTTGACAGAGCTGTCTGGATTAAAACTAACCAGCTGCTAATTCAGACTCTCGTCTGGATGTGAAAGCCCCAAGACAGCCCATTTCTTATTCAGCACATAACAAAAGAGTGTGGTCTGTTCTGCTGCAGTATATTTATAAGCCTAAGGCCATAGTGGCATGGTTTTACTTATTATTTGCTCTATTAGGGGTTCTTCAACTGCCTTCAGAATTCATAGTCTTGTTTAATTCCACTTAATATCCCTATTCTGATGGTATTTCTAGCACTGCTTAAAAGTGTTCTGCAGAAGAGCTATGAAACAGAGTTTGAGCCCTTTAAGTGAAGTCATACGAACACTGTTTTTTTCTGTTTTGATGGTTCTTCCAGGATAAAAAAAAGAGTAGGGGAAAGATTATGATTCTGGATGATCCAAACCCCAAACTTCTCCTAAGCAAGGAATCAAGCAAAATGGTTCATTTATCTTAAAAATCAATGTTTTCTTTGACTCAGAATTGAATGTTTTGTTTCACTAAAGGCTTATCTGATCATCTTTTTTTTTTTTTTCTTATATTTTCATTTTAAGCTGTAGTTGTGTTTAAAAGAAAAGCTTTGTTCCCAGAAACAATTCCAGAAGTTTGCATCCAATAATATTTAAACATGATAACATCACTAAAACAAAACATTTTGCTCAAAATATAATGAGGTAGCTTGCATGATTTTTCCAGTAGTTATCATCTCAGGCTGTGAGATATCAGCTTAAACTCTTACTTTTTAACTCTCCCAGATTAAATTGTGTTTAGGTTACATAAAATAATGTGCATCCAAAGACACCATGGCCTTTTCCACACACGAGTGAGCCTCAACCATTTAGTTAAGCCAGTCAAGACAGCAATCAATACATTTGGCATCTGGAAGAAAAAAAAAAGCTTAAAATAAATCTGAGCCATTTTGAAACTGAATTTAGTGCACAGGCATTTGCCTAACCAAACTATGTGAGATTTAAGAGAAATTAGTTCTGTAAAACTCCATGTTTAAGCAAAAATCTGAGCTCATGGAGAAAAGTATCCATTTAAGAGGACAAGAGAAACTTTTTGTGGGCTATAAGAGAGTCTCAGCAGACTAGCAGCAACACAGTAGAAAAGAATGAGGAGCCTCAGGCAGAGAAAATCGTAGTAATTCAGGCATAAAACAAGTAGGTCTCAAGTCAGCTTTTTATTCCACTCCGCGTGCAGGGGAAATACATGCAGAAACACAGGCAGAAGTGATCTGGGGAGAAAAGACTGTTTTGACAAACCCCTACGGCCGCCCCAGCTGGCGTTTGGAAGTTTTTGATAACGACATTGAGCAAAGCCAGGCGAGATCAGCTAGAGATGTAACAAAAAGCCCAAGGCAGTAGAAGCCTGTGTCTCTTCCCAAAGAAGGTGAAACCTCCCCGCTCTCTGAAATCAGCACTTTGTGGATGGGTTTGGCTGCCAGAGACGCGTGCCGGAGATTTGCACCGACAGCTCAGCAAAACCTCCACGTTCTTCATCTCCGCTTGGGTCCTGCCATCTCTACCATCTCCGGACAACAATTTAATATTAAGACAGCTGTACCACATAAGACTGGAAGCTGATCTAGCCCAGGATCCTACCTGGAACAGAGACCAGTGGTGGATTCTTACAGAGATAGACCAGCAAAGCTGCTGTGGTATCCTTCCTTGTCCCAGCAATTAAAGGTTCAGCAATTTGCTGAGCCAGAAGCATTCTTGTAGCATTTAATAACCTCCAACGGGTGCTTTTCTTCTAACTTATTTATGTTTTTCCCACTCTGCCATCCTGAGGCAATGAGTTCCACAATTTAATTACTTTCCAGTTGAAGAACTATCTCCTTTCACTCATTTCAAACGTGCCATCTGCTGAGCTCATTAGGAGCTGGCTAATCCTTACATTAGAAAGAATAAATGATCATCCCTATTCACCCTCTCCAGGCCAGTTATGGTTTGGTAGACCTCTGCCATATTCTTCTCTTTGAAATAAAGAGTCTATCATCTAGCCCACAAGTCCTTCTCCAACAGCGGACATATGGAGATGCCTTGGGAAGAATATTAGAACAAAAACAGTCTGGATCATATGCCTTCCCACCCTCCACTGCTTTCAAAGCATCCAACCATTTTTAGTCCAGGAAATTCCCCACTTAAACATGGTTTCTATGCAAGCCTCAGTGTAACCCCCTGCTTTTCCACAGGCAAATGCCAAATCTTGCATCTGGGACTGGATAACCTCATGTAACAGCCCAGGCTGGGGCACCTGGCAGAGCAGGACCAGGTGCCCAGGGCACTGCTGAGCTTGGCAAGGAGAAGGCTAAGGGGAGAGCTAATGGTGGGCAACCAGTGCCTTGAGGCACAGGGAACACGGGGGCAGACTCACCCAGAGAGGTGGGGGAATCTCCTTC